GTACATGGTGGAAGTAGAGAACCGACTTAGTTTTTCTTTGATTGCTGCATGCTCACTGTGATGCACACACACCCCAAATAAATAACTCCAGTAAGCGTGGGGGCTGTTGGGTTTTGATTGTCCCTGTTTCCCCTTCCCCTGTGGCCCTCTCATACTGCAGCTGTTTTCTTATAGAACCATAACTGAGCCGCTTCCCTCAGTGTCTGCCTTCAAACCTGCTCGGAGCAAGTCAGTCGTCACGGCACCCTGTCCCTCCTAACTAAACCCCAGCTTCCTGCAGCTCAGGCCGCCACACCCGTTTTCAGTTTGATGTTTTGATCTCATCTTCCTCCACCCATGTTAGGAACACTTTTTGCAGACTGCTGGAGAGAGAATTCAGCAGGCAGCCACACCTAGCCTGGCATGGTGGGGCACACCTGTAATCCCAATACATGAGGCTGAGGCAGGGGCATTGCTGGCTTCAGGCCAGTGTGGACCACACAGCAAAACTGACTCAAAAGACAAAACCACATCAGGAACAACTGCTTCAGCCCCGTCCCTGGAAGCCACCCCACTCCTGGGTTGCTGTTTTTTTCTGGACCCAGACTCCAGCATTGGTGATGCCCAGTACACAGTACACAGGACCCACCAGAAAGTACTTATTCATCCAAGTGGGAAAAGCCAGCGCTAGACTTGGAATTCCTGGGCCAGTCTGATGCTACGAGTTTTAGGATTGGAATTGCTGAGACAAATGACTTAAAAGGGGTTGTTTATTTAATAAGAGACAGCATTGTCCTCCCATCAGAGGCTCCTTGGAAACAGTACCAGGTGAGCCAGAGAAACTGAGCACATTAGAGTTTTCTGGAGTTAAATTCAGAATTAGGACAAGGTAGGAAAAAATCTATGCTCATTGAATAGAAAATGCAATTGTCTGTCAGCGCAGGAACTGAGTGTCTGCAGCAAATTATATTTAGGACTCTATTGTCGCGGGTAGATTGGCTAATGCCTGGTTTTAAGTGTGGGCTTCTAATGCTGTTACTCCTGGTTAACTCTGCCTGCTAGGTAACCTTGTGGAACAAATGACTGCATTGCTTGAATAACATATTTGATCAAATAGGACAATTCTTTCAAAAATTGAGTTCTCTGTGGCAATTTGAGACCTGTAATCAGCAAATTAGATGATTACAGCAGGGATAAAAATAGTCTTCTAACAATGTCCAAGGTATAAATGTGATTTGAATTTCAAACTGCTGAACATGTGGTAGGAAAATGCACGGTTGGATAAATAGGACGAGACATTATCAGATCTGATTTCCCTTCCATTCCTGCTCTGAGCTACAGCCTAATTTTGTCTGCGTTATCTTACGGTCTCCAATACAACAGAGTTTGAAGGGAGGACAGAGGTGCATCAGGTGCCGTGTTCGTGTCTTAAAGGACACACCTGTCGGCCTCAGAAACACAGTCCACAAGACCTTAGTAGCACTCGTCTGTCTGTCCACTTGGTATGAAATGACCTCTATAAAACAGGACCCTGTATGCCGGGTGGTGGTGGCGCACGCCTTTAATCCCAGCACTTGGGAGGCAGAGGCAGGTGGATCTCTGTGAGTTCGAGACCAGCTTGGTCTACAAGAGCTAGTTCCAGGACAGCCTCCAAAGCCACAGAGAAACCCTGTCTCGAAAAACCAAAAAAATAGGATGCTGTTTAACACCTAGGAAAGATGGCACTCACTGGAAAGCTTCCCATGACATCACCTAAGTACCAGTGTTTTAGGCAGTGGTTAGAGAAATGCCAGACTCTGAGAATGTGGTGTGCTGGACTAGTAGGCTACTGTGTCCCCATGTCAGACCCAAGACCTGTACTGCAGTCTCTATTCTTGATTCTTCAGCCAGTGACTTTTCTGATAATCACTGGGCCTCGGCTGTTTTTGGCTGAATGGTAGAACAGAGAGAATGCTGCCAACCGGTCTGTAGAGCCAAGCCACCAGAGGCTTCAGCCACAAACTGTCACCAGAAGATAGGAGCTTTGCTAAGGGACTTGTCACTCGCCAGTAGTTCCCAGGTGCCCCCCTCCCTCCAAAAAATAGGTTTCTCTCTGTAGCTTTGTAGACCAGGCTGGCCTCCAACTCGAGATCCTCTTGCCTCTGCCTGAGTGCTGGGATTAAAGGCGTGCACCACCACCGCCCTCTGTGGTTCCCAGGGTTTTATGATGGAGCCACAAGGAATTATAGATTCTATTCATTCGGAATTGTTTTTCGTTAGCACAGATGATGGATTTGCTATGACAGTACCACCATTTGGCCAGCTCCACGCAAGGTGTGATGGTATACAGCTGCAATCCTGGCACTAGAGGCTAGGGCAGGAAGGTTGGGGCCAGCAAGGGTTACACAGTGAGACCAGGTATCAAACAAACCACAAAACATAACTGCTTCTTTGTGTAACATAGGGTCTTTTTATGTAGCCCAGGCTGTTTTGATCTCTCTCCTGCCTCAGTATCCTCAGTGCTAGGATTACAAATGTAGGCCACCATGGAGAGATTACATTAATGAAATTCCTGGGGTATGGAATGGCTTCACTAGCAGAGCCTACCCCTGCTGATGACTCTGGTGTGAATAGCACCTAGCCCAGGGTATTGTGGGAGAAGAGTTGCAGAAGTCTAGGCTACACAGCCAGCTCTAGGCCAGCATGGGTTGCACTTTAAGACTGTCTCAAAAATTATGAGGGCAGCCAGGCATTGGTGGAGCACCCCTTTAATCCCAGCACTCGGGAGGCAGGAGGATCTCTGAGTTCGAGACCAGCCTGGTCTATAAGAGAGTGCCAGGACAGTCTCCAAAGTCACAGAGAACCCTGTCTTGGAGAGAGAGAAAAACAAGAAGCCAAGAGAACTGGTAGAGCCATTCTGAAAGGCAACTTCTAGCTTGTTCCAGTAAAGACAGCTGCTTCAAAGATAGTATTCTCTTTATTAAAAATGGATAGACATAGCAGCACTTACAAACCAAGAGTTCATGAAAGGCAGGACATGCTGTCAGCTGACAGTGGAAACGGTCGGCCTGGCCCAGGCTGTGGGCTCGGCATCCCATGCTTGCTCACAACCACCTGTCCCACCCAACACAACAGCAACCCCAAACACCCGGGCAGAGGCCAGCAGCAACCGTGGCCTCCTTAATTTCAAGCTTTTGTCATGTGTGAAGAGTCCAGTGGGTCAAGTAGCACCCTCCTTAGCAGCTTCTGGAGCACTCAGCGGCGTTCTGGAGGTGGCTGGTGTCCTCAACCCTATTGTTAAAACAACTAGCATTCCATACAAGCACTTCTGTCCGAGGCCATTTTGAAGACGCCCGCTGCTCTGGAAGAGATACGCCTTTCCGCAGAGCATCAGCAGGGGCTCCCAACCTCCTAGGCAGCAAAGGAGCTCCAGGCAGCTGCTTCCACAACACTGTCTTTGGCAGGTTTGCTCATTCTGTCTCCTCCTCACTGTTCTGCTTCTTACTGCTGGGTGGGGGTGTCAGGACCCCACTGGGAGGAGGAGAGATCCTGTTCTGTTCTGACAATATGGCTTTCTTTGCCTGGGCTTTGTCCTACATGGAATAAAAGGAATAGTTGTCAACATAAAGTGTTGTTTCACTGGATGGGCACTTTTACTATGGAGGCCAGAGGGAGAAATAACAAAAGTAAAAACTAATCTAAAGTTAGGCATGGTGGCAGACTTGTAAATCCTACCACTTGGGAGCAGAGACCAAAGACTTGAGTTTTAGGTCAGCCTGGACTATCTAGTAAGACCTTGTCCCTACCACCTCAAGTCTAGGTCTGCAGGTACCCAGACAGAGGATCTGTGGACCAGAAACATTCATATGCGACTAGGAGAACTAGCTTTTCCTGGGCTCCCTGGGGCCTGCCTTAAGAAAAGCGAGGTTGTTCGGGCAAGATGGGTTAAGCACTTGTCTGACGGGAGCGAGGGCGTCACTGACCAGCAAATCCAAGCTGTTGGCGTGGGTCTGGATGTTGTGGGCGTTTTCCATGGGAACTCCCCGGAAGTGCTTGAGCTTGGAGCTTCCCACCTCCCGGAAGGCCATGGCGAACGGAACCATCCACTTGACACATTTCTCTATGTCGCACCACTGATCCCCTGCCAGTAAAGAGGTTAGTTAGAGGCTCAGTCTGCAGCTCACAGCGGGTCTGTGTGTGTAGACACCTCGTCTGTGAACTCGCAGGAAAAAGCGACATACCTGAAACCTTCTGCATCAGTTCCATGGAGGAGAAATGATACAAGGCAGAAGCAGCAAGGACACCATAAGGAAATTCTAAGCAGCCGACATCCAGGACACACAGATCTAAAAGCTAAGGGAAGACAGGGATGCTAGACGGATGCCACACAGAGCTTCTAGAAGCCCCTGGTGAGCTGGGGTGTACACGCCTCCCCCCAACACACACTCTCTCTCTCTCTCTCTCTCTCCCTCTCTCCCCCCTC